TTTGGGAGTTTACTGGCAAATAAATGCAGATTTTGGTTCCAAAACGTGATAAACGGCATTTTAAAAAAAATTTAGTTTCCGCCAAAATCAGTATTGTATCTGGTCAATGGTCAGTACTGGTCAGTATTGTGTCTGGCCAATCACAGCGCACCATTACACGCACTCTAGACAGTAATGGCGGCGCTTTGAATACACCCGGCATCCTAGTTTTCCTCATCTACTTTGTACTTTGTGATCAACAAACAAACTTAGGGCTGCACGATAAATCGCATGTGATTGTCATGCGCATCTCGTCAGTAAAGCCAGTTCTGTGAATAGTAAATCTCCATCAGCGACATTTAATACACAGAGCCGTAGATCACTGCAATATCGCGTTCATAATCGCAGATGAGTCGTATTCGATTATGAACGCGATATTGCGTAGCTTGTCAGTGTAAGTGTTTTTATTTATGCCATTAATGTTTTTGTTAATACAGCGTAGGCTATAGCACTAGTCAACTAAATGAATGTAACATGGCAAAGATGAATGCACTTTTGGAAGTTGAATGTAAAGGAAATGTCATTTTGGAATTTCTGTGGTTTAATGTGATATTGTTGTTCATGTATGTTCATGATGACATTTTCTTTTATTGTTGTAATTCATTTATAGCATTAACAAGATGACCCGTTGAATTCATTTTGGGAGTGATGACTGATTGAATGTATTTTTAGTATTGACCAAGTTCAGAGGCTGTCATATGTGGATCAACTTACTATGTTGTGTATTTTCAACAGGTTCAATATGAAAAATAACTTTAATATTGATTCAATGGATTTATTGCATTTTGGAAAAAAAACAAAAACGTGTCATGGATTTATTGCATTTTGGGAAAAAAATTATATAATTTTATAATAAATCTTTGAAAATCAAAATCTGGATTTGAGTTTTTCATCTTGCCACTTTCTTCAAATTAATCAAAATAGATTTATAGCGTTTGGAACCAAACTCTTCAAATATATGCACTGCGGGGTTTTAGAGTGAAGAGCAGCACTGTGTTCATTTACACTCAAGCAGCTCATGATAAAGTGTTTTAGAGTCTTAGCACGGTTAAAAGTAAATAAACAGTGAAGCGCTTCACTCTGAAACCTGCAGTGATTATAATTATTTAATTAAATCACAGCATGCACGATTTGAGAATATTGTGATGTTGATTTTATTTTCATATATCCTGCAACACTAAGAAACAGAAGAAAAAAATCGGACCAGACTTAATTTCAATTGCGAATGCACTTAATCGTGAAAAGGGGCTGTTACGTACCAGAATGGAACCAGGTTGGAAGAATAGGGTTAAAAAAAATAAGAGGTCTTGGTGATGTCATCCAAACTGAAACATTATTTTAGAGACAGAGCAAGTTATTATAGTTTGATGGTTATTAAATATGGAATAATGTGCACTGACAAATCACGGCCAATATGACCAGGAATGTGATCTAAAATTATTATAATTATTATTGTTTTAATTTTTGTTCACTTAACCAGCTTTTCCTGCTAACAGAAGAATTATAAACCCATTTGTTCAGAATTATATCCACCATTTTTAGTTACAGTACAGCTCCCACGGCAGAAGTGTGTGTCGTCCCCTCTCACCTGTGTTAGAGTCTTGCTTTGTTTTTATCTGTTCCTGAATACTTCTGAGCTGTTGACCTTCTTGAGTGCTCAGGTGCTCTGTGGCACAGCGACACTGGCAGTTATACAGAGAGAGAGAGGGGAGGAAATGTAATGGCCTGTGAGAAAGATTATGAGAGAATGAGGGAAGAAAAAACAGCAGCTATACGGGGAGAGGGAGAGAGAGAGAGAGAGAGAGAGAGAGGCCTCGCTGACGTTTCCCTACTGCATATGCAGCTGATAGTATCTGGCAGGGCCTGGCTCTCTGGGGAGCCCTGTAATCTGTTCCATCAGCGTTTACTACCGAACAAATTAACTAAGACAAGCACCGCCGCCTGAGCCAGCAGAATTCTTCCATTAGGAAAATTATAAAGCTATTATGGGGAACAATTTGGTCCTTTACTCTCATTGGAGGGCTACAGGGCTTCCTTGAACTACACCAGGGGGGCTGGATGGAATACCCCAGGGGGCATTAGCACTATTGATACCAATAGAAAGAAAAATCATGCTCTTTATTATCTCAAACCTTTCTCTTTGACGGCAGCAAGATTAAATGGAGAGTTTTTATTAAGTCTCTGAGAAGAAAAGACCCTAGTGAACTCAGTTGTGTCTCCTTTTGAGTTTCAAGTGAGACCGTCTCAAACTGTGCCCAGTAACAAAGATCTCAGTATAAATTTAAATATTTGTATGATTCTTCCAAAACCAAATAAACTGCTCTATTATTTGCACATTAATTTTAGATTTGCACAAAAGAATTTGAGGAGAAACAAGCATCTGAGACTTGGTACTTCATTGAAGTTCTTCCTGAGCTTTGAATGTACAACCTTTATTATATATTATGATTTATATTTGCTAATTTATTTTGGTTGCTCAACCTTAAAACATTTTTTTTCAATGGACCTTTAGGAAAAACATCTGAGATGAAGTTGATACTTCATTGAAGTACCTTCTTAAGCTATGAAAGCACAGCCTTTGCTGTATTATGATTAATACTTGCTAAAATCCTGGCTGCACAACCTAAAAAAAATCACATAATAGTGTAAGACAAGAATATATATCATGATTACATTCAAAAATCATTTCAGAAGTTGACATTTTCGTTTAGTTTAAATTGTGAATCGAATGAACAGATTCTTTTCAATGAGCCCTTAATCTGGTTCACATTTCAGAATGATTTATTCACAGATGCATTCCTAAATTGAAAGTGCAATTTTTGGTGTATTATGATTCATATTTCCTGTTATTTTAACTCCCATGACCTTAAAAATGGCATTAACAATCATTTCAGAAGTTAACATTTTGAATCCAAGTCAGTCGTTTAGTTGAAATTGTGAATCGAATGAACAGATTCTTTTCATTGAACACCTTGATCTGGTTCACAGTTTAAAATGATTCATTCACATATGGTTTCCTAAGTTAAAAGTGCAACCTTTCCTGTATTATGATTCATATTTCCTGTAATTTTGGCTGCATGACCTTAAAAATCACATTATGGTGTAAGACAAGTATGTATATATATATATATATATCATGATTATGTAAAGGTAATGTATATAGGCTACCTTTAATAGTGCTCACGTACATTACGTACATGTCATGTCAGTGCATTGTTAGAGTAAATGCATTATGTCACAGTTTATTTCTGTCACGGTCTCACCACTTATATTAATAACAAGCCGTTTAGGAAGACCAGAACCATAGCCCACTTACATAGCATGACGTTTTTATCTAAAACTTGTCCCATTCACCCAGAAACCAATGATCCACTCCCGTCTCTAGGGATGGTATTTTAAAACCAGATTTGTCCCTGGAGATCAGCCCTCATGCTTTTACCTTGCCAGACTAGCCGAACGACGTTCCGTCGGAGTGCTTTGCGGAGCCATGTGTCTTCCTATGTGGAAGGAGGAGGTGATAATAACAGAGGAGAGTAAAACTGGGGCGAGACTGTGGTGACTCAGCCCCCCAGTTGTTGTGTTGGAGGTTTGGGGAGTCTGGCGCACAGAGTTCCAGCCTAATTAAGTTGATTTGTTCCTAGCATCTGGCTTCCAGATGTCAGACGATATTCTTTAGCTCAGCTCCCTGCTGTTGAGAGGAGAGGAGTGGGACGGCAGGGACCGCAGACTGCTGACTTTTCATGAGGCCCATCAGGGGTGGGACAGCAGCGCGCTGTAGGTGACTGATGGATGAGGCGGCCAATCGCGGTGTGCCTGTCGCAACTTTCCAGGGAATCTGATTGGTTAGTTGGAGCAGGAGGTTTATAGCCACAGTATGCCTGCAGGTGCATACCGAGCAGTATTCTCACACCTTGTAAAACACGTGTTTCATGCGAAATAGACGTGATGTTTGGCGAGAAGGTTCTGTCGTATTGTTTTTACAGCTTTCGAATTTGGCGAATGTGACCGGTCTGAGGGCGATGACTGTGTACAACAGAAAGTTGTTGCCGAACCTCTTCATAGAGCGGTGCCAATTAGTAATTGTGAATCAGTTTATCTAGTTCATAATTCAGACAGAATGATTAATTTATGAATCAGTTCTTAAGTTGACATTTGACGCAATGAATAGTTTAGTCCAAATTGTGAATTGAATCAATTGGTTCTTTACCATGAATTAGTTGATTTGTTCCACAATTAAGACTGAGCAGTTCATTCACAAATTGGTTCCTATGTTGATTTTTGAAACCAATTTACTGACACATTTGGTTCAAATTGTGAATCGTCACTTGTTTTGTTTCTCAATTTAAACTGAGCTATTCATTCACGAATCGATTATTAAAGTGACCTTTTGAATCTAACTCACTGACACTTTAAGCTCAAATTGTAAATTGAATCAACTGCTTCTTATCAGTGAATCAGTTGATTTGATTCACAATTCATTGCTTAAACTTACCTGTTTTTAAGCTGACATTTTGAATCCAACTCACTGAATCAAATCAACTTCTTTTCAGAACTTCATAATTGAAAGAAATGGTTTGTTTCTGATTCACAATTCAAACTCAAATCATTCATGAATAGGTTCTAAAGTTGACATTTTGAATCCAACTTGCAAAATGATTCAGTCTGTATTGTGAATTGGATCAACTGGTTCTTTTCAGTGATCTTTCAGTGCTTTTCAGTGGTTGTTTGGAACAAAGTTGGCATGATTAAATTATAGGAAAATAATTTTTTATCTTTAAAATCTGATTGTCACATGGAAGAGTTCTGTTCTGATAATCCGAAAACTGAAATTATTGCCAGTTCTGTAAAGCCAAGGTTTATATTTGGGCACATTTTTAATGACTTACTGATGTCATGTAATTTATTTACCAAAACAGTTACTCTGGAACCTCATGTGAATCGTTTCCCTTATCTGTCCACAGAAAGAACTGGATGCCACCGCCGCAGCCCTGGCCAACAGACAGGATGAAAGTGAGCAGTCCAGGAAAAAACTCATCGACCAAAGCCGCGAGTTCAAGAAGAATACTCCAGAGGTGAGCAAAAGCGAGAAATTATTTTCCGAATGATAGGAAGCTCAAAGGTTGTGGAGCGAAGGGGAATTTGAGCACCTAATTGTCATATGTCTGGACCGGCACATCCTGGTCTCCCAGGTACCTGTGAAGCACCATGTTTTAGCATTTCATATCAGTTGATATTCTTCTGCATGCATTCTGCCTCCATTTTGACTGCTTACAGGACTTTAAATGTGTACCCTGTAGAGTTGTGTTCTTGTTATTACTATTGTTCCACTTGAGTTCTAGAGCATGGCCGCGCCGTTAGATTATTTTTCGGATTCTGCACTTGTCTGAAGCTCGGCATGGCCTTGTAAGAGAGGTCAGTAGCAGAGAAACCAGAGGATATTATCGTTTATCCATTTAGGGAATACTTGGTCTGCATGAATAGCAGCGGACGGTCGTGTCCAGACCATAGGGTTGTCTGTGAGGTCATGTTCCAGGGGAAAAACTGAAGCTGCATGTTAGCAAGACCGTAAGGATCAGTGATTCTTTATTTACTGAAAACCGTCTCTGATCTGATAGAGTTCTGAAACAAACTCGTCTTGACAGTAGGAGAACATTGCGACCATTGGATCAGGATGGTTATCTGATGTTTGTTCTGTTTAGAAACAGATTACTTTTAATGTGGATATGATAATGTTTATAGTCTCTGTTTTTGTCCTATAGTATTTACAGACTCTAAATCTTAAATCACATGGAGTGGTAGTTTTCGCTCGCATATTGATGCATGACATGTTTAACACATTTATTGATTTGACTCTTTCATTCTGAAATTTATTTGTAAATCAAATCCAGGTAAAATGTTTAACAAAAGCATAGTAATCTGTGTTTTTATATAGCCGAATTTAGTATAAAATATGGAAATATTTTTATATTATTTATATTTATATATATTTACATTTTATTAATATATTTTTTAATATTATTATTTATTAATTTTATTTTAGAAATTTCAACCGATTTAATAAAATAATAATAATTAATACCAATAGTAATAATACAATATATAATGTAGTTTTATAATATAAACATACAGTATTTTATACAAATCTCATACTAGATTCTATATGCTACATGTGTCATCCAACACTTTAATATTATTATTATTTTTTTTTAAATAATGTGTTAACATGTTAAAGAAATGGAAATTAATTTTGAATTACTGAATTGTCTATTTGTTCAGTTTCCTGAGGCTGTTAATTTAGTATCGTGCTGAAGTTAATGTTAGTCTGGATAATGGGTAAGAACAGTGCAGGATTTAGGAATCAAGGCAAAGAAGTAAGAGAAAGAGACATCAGACAGCTGTCAGAAGACATCTACAGTTCAAAATAACCTTGGGCTTTTCTTTTAGTCTTTGATTAATAATATCCTTATCAGCATAAGAGTGTTTTTGTGAAGATTTCAGACAGGTGCCTGCAATCCTCCAAACGGCAAATCCGTATAATTCCTCGCTGTGTTTGGTTTTGAGAAGTCTCTGCCAACCCATCTGAAGTGTGGAGAACTCAAGGGCACCGCGGTGCTCCGGCCAGCGATATCTTTGATCACGGTTGCCGTCGCCTTCTGCCCTCTTCCCTCTTGCTCCCTCTTTCCTGCCTCTCGTTTCGTGAATTCCTCGCGAGTTACCACTCCCAGAGAGTGCAGATGAATAAATGGAAAATAAAAAACCTGTTTTGTCTCCGGAGCCTCAATAAATCAGTCCCCCTTTTCCATTTAAAATGTCCAGGGCTGCAATTTATGTCTGAGCTTAATAACCCGTTACTAAATTAATCGTGCTGGGGGTTTTGGCTGGGAGGCCACGCTTTCGGAGATTCTGTGAACCCTGTTAAAGAAAAAGAAAAAGTCCATCCGAGTGCTTTTCTGCCCGGTACTCAAGGTGCAAGACATCAAGGGCCTCAGTCAGAGAGGTGGAAATTATATGAGGGAAGCTGGAAATTTACCTTAATGGCTGGGCTGCTGGATGTGGAATTAATGTGCCATGGCTACCTTACTGTACCATTCCTTCAGACACAGGGCAAGCCGTAATCTAACCCCAATGGATTTTGTGGTATCAGCAGTTTTTATGCTAATTTGGGGTGTTTGTGCTTAATTTACTTATACATTTGCATCAAGTTCCACTAGCTAAAGGACCAAAAAAAAGAGAAAAATTCTGTCATTTGATTGTTGCAACTAAATTTCTTCTAAAACGATACTTTCAGAAAAAGGTGAATTTGAATATTCTTTCCAGTTTTTAAGTATAATTAAGCTTCAAAATGACAAAAAAGCACCATTAAAAATTTCTTAAAAACAGTCCAAAATTACTTTATTATATTTAATTTATTGATGTGTGACATTTTTTGACATTTTATTTGTTTAATAAATTGATTTGATCATATCAATAATACAATATTTTGTATTTTGCCAAGTATATATATACACTGAGTGTGTCATTAAAAATGAATTGTGCATCATTTTAATATAATTTTGTTTTTGTTCCTTAAGGAATTTAATGTTTCAGAAAATGAGGATATTCTTGCTGAATATCATAAAATCCATATTTTTAATATAAATAAGTAAATGAAGACTGGGGTTTTAAAGCTACAGAATGACAAAAAGGACCATTAAAGCAAAATAAATGTAGTCCAAAACTACTTGTGTGCAAACTCTTTTGAGGCCACATGACTCCTTAATGTGAGAAACAGGCTGAAATGAATTGGATTTTTTGTTCTTTTTTCCTTTTTTGATACTTTATGGTGCTTTTATGTGCTTTTTTTGTGAGTTTAAAAGCTCTAGTCTCTATTCATTGTAAATGCACAGAAAAGAGTGACCAGTATGTTATTTAAAATTTCTTCTTTTGTGCTCAACTGAAAAAAGGAAATCACACAAGTTTGGAAAGACATGAGGAAATAATGACATAATTTTCATGTTTGGATGAATTGTCCCTTTAAAGTTTTCAGACCTTGTCTGTATAATATATTTGGACAGATGAATTGCCATTTTTGTTTCTCTGTCTCTGTCTCATATCCGTTTCCATTTTCAGTCCACTAACGTGGCGCTGTTGTTGTTTAATTGTTATTGACTAGTTATTTATGTAGCTCCTTCATGGTTCTGCTTCGCCTCAGGATGCAGGTTGAAAAGTTTATTGTCCGCTATGTGATGTCAATGTGACAGATAGGGATTTGTTAGGATGACCCGTTATTTTCCAACCGATTACGTAACGTCTGTGTTTTCTTCGCCATGCACCTGTGAAATAAATAATCCTAAGCAGCCGTTAAATTTGCCACAGATCACTTCATTTTGTCTTTTTTTCGAACGCATAAATATTTAACCCAAACAACCACCACATTTGGCCCTATTTTCGTTTAGCTTTTGCATGCTCATTATTTAGATGGAGTTTTAAATAGGATGTGATGGAGACTGAAAGAGACCTGTGTGTCTGTGCTGAAATTATATTCAGAGCTGCCTGCGTGATGGAAATATTTTCATAAGGTCATGTGCATTCCCTCCCCTCTAGCTCAGATATTTTGAGTTTATCCATTAGACACCATTGATAAAAATCTAATTTTTTTGCATTTTCGCTTAGTGTTGCACCACATGCAAACACCATAAGTGCATTTAAAGTTTACGCTGAGCGTTTGATGGTGAATAAACCACACAGTGCTAATATACCTGCTCTTTATGTACACTCTTTAAAGTGAACAGGAAGGGGGCTCGCAACCCATTTTATATCCGTAATGTGGCTTTTTTTAAGTTAAACAATATTCGTATGTATATTGGGATTTTATTTTCTATATAATAATTTGATTAGATTGATTAGGTCTTTATATGGCAGGTGATTGGAGGATAGGGGTTGAAAATGTAAAAAGTTTGGCAACTTCAGATGAGAAGGAAAGTCGCACTAAAAGACGAAAACTTTTTTTACTTTGTTCAGCGATGAAAAGTTCCTAAGATCAGAAATGTTTATTAATAAAATATGGTAAATTTTGATTGCATAGACTGACTTTGTTTGATGTTTAAATCACAAACAGCCTTGTGTGCCATTTAGAACTAAATTGAGATTTTTTAATTCCAGTTTGAATCGGAGTTGATGCAGGATGCTGAATTGTAATTTGAATTTAAGAAATTTGAATCGAAATGAAATAAAATTCAAAGAAATTCATATGACTGCTGTAACTTTTGAATAATTTGGTTTTGAATGAAATGAGACAAAACACCTAAGATGTTAAACATTAAATTGTATTAATAATCAGTTTAAAAGAACACCCATGGATTTTTTAAATATGTAGCCTACTTTTAATTGTTAAATTTTTATTTATTTATTTAATAATAATAAATATATATTGAAATTCATGCAAAAAAGTTTTTGTAAAATGTCTAAAATAAATGTCCTACCTTTCCAGTTTAGCTTCCTGTGTTGTGGCCAATTCAGTTCAACTCATGAATTGAAAGAGCTCATTTTTACATTCTTGTGATGATCTAGTAAAAAGGTTTTTTGTCCTGTTTTTGTACTATATTTTGATCATAATTGCCTACATGTTTACTGATGTTTCTTTTGCTGATTCTCAGCATCAAAGCGCACTACAAAGAACATTAAGTCAGTCGAAGAAAAGAGTCCTTTCTTTTTTTCTTTTTTTGCAGTTATGATTGTTGTGTGTGTGTGTGTGTGTGTCAGCCATTTTGATTTTTGCTCCTTCACTGGCTTTGATGTTGCCTTAAAGGGGACGGCTGGTTGGCCTCTGGACGTTGTGATGTTAGTGTCCAGAGATTTCATTGGCTGCCAGGGCTGGTCAGAGAGAGCTGTGAACTGAATGGTCCTGACAAAATGAATACAGTAATTAGGGCTGATCCACTGGCACGCCGCCCACGCTGGCAGACTGGCGTCTTACACTGTTAATTATAGCCGTCCCATTGGTAACACGACGTTAGGGTATTTACCAAGGACTGAATTTGTTACAGTGTATTTCTGTGTGTAGTGGTAGTGAGAGAGAGCGAGAGAGCATTGT